CTGTCCGTGGGGCTGTGCAGGGAAGGGGCATGGGAAGCTCTGGGAGAGCTCTGGGGCTGTGCTGGCAGTGGGTGGGTGAGCTCTGAGGTGTTCTCCTCTTCCCTGAGAGAGTTTGCAGAGCAGGAAGCTGCTGGCCCTGCTCTCTGCCACAGTGGTGTTTGCAGAAGAAGCTCTGTGCCTGGCTCCTCTCAGCAATTCCTGGGAAGGTTCTTACCTGAGGAAMCACTCAGGGACAGGGAGAACAGCCCTGTGTCCTCACTGGCTGCTCCACAGTGGATGGGGAGGGTTCTCCAGGCTGGCTTTTCCTCCTGGAGGTTTAACAGAACCATGGGATCATGGGATGGTTTGGGTTGGAAGGGACCTTGGAGCTCATCTTGTTTCACCCCTGCCACGGCAGGGATGCCACTCCCTAGGTCAGGGTCCTGTCCAGCCTTGAACACTTCAGGGATGCAGAATCCACACCCTCGGGGCATCCCCAGGCCGTGCCACCATCATTGCTCCCAAAACAGCCCCATCAGTGCTCCCCAAACAACCTCACAGCAGAGCCCCGCAGGGATTGCTGTGTCCTGTCAGTGTCGTGGTGTTATCTCCGTGCACATCCCCTCCTGCAGCACCCCTGGCACCTCTGGGCCATCCCAGCCTTCAGCAGGGCCCTGCTGTGACTGCCAGTGTTTGTTTTTTGGGTATCACCAGTGTGCCCAGCAGTCCAGAAGGCACAGGATGAGCCGTGGTGCCCCCAGTCCTCCCCACACTGGAGCCAACAGAACTTTCTCACCAGCCCTGGGTCGGTGGTGCATGCAGTCAGCAGCAGCAGCTTTGTGCACAGGATATTCCCAGGGCTGGCAGCTGCTCCTGGGGAAGGTTTGCTCTGTGATTCGCAGCCATTGTAGTCTGGAGCTGTTTCCGAGGTACTTCCCCTCTGGGATCTCTGCTTTGGCCATGCACCAACCCTCAGAGAGCTGGAGGCCAGGGGCTGGCAGGGCTGGGCGGGGAGCCTTGTCCCCAAATCACCCTGCCCCCAAACCTCCCTGTCCCCAAACCTCCCTGTCCCCAAACCTCCCTGTCCCCAAATGCCCCTGTCCCCAAACCTCCCTGTCCCAAACCTCCCTGCCACAAACCCTGCACGTGGAGGAGCCTGGGGAAGGGACAGAGGGGCTTCCCTGCATCTGGAGCTGTGGCTGCCCCTGGATCCCTGGCAGTGCCCAAGGCCAGGTTGGATGGGGCTTGGAGCAGCCTGGGACAGTGGAAGGTGTCCCTGCCAAGGCAGGGGTGGATCTGGATGGGATTTAAGGTCCATCCACCCAAACCATTCCATGATTCCATGACGTGACCCCTCCCTCCCACCCTGGGAATGTGTCCCTGGCACAGCCTGGGGTGCCAATGGGGAGGACACAGCCCTGGGCTCTGCTGGGCACTGAGCTCAGGGCACTACAGAGCTCACACCGAGTCACACCTCCTCCTCGTTCCTGTGATGTCTCAGGAGCCCCCTGTGGGTGCTGGACCCCTCACAGAGGGGCATCTCTGCAGCCAGAGCTCTCGGTGTGTGGGGTCTGGGGGCTCCTCCTGTGCTGGTGTCATTCTCTGGGAACTCCTCACATGATTTATGGGCCACAGACCCCTTTTGTTTGGTGTCTGCTGGAGTAACCAGGAGCCCTGTTTGGCCAGACATCTCCCCTGGGCACTGTGGGGTCAGGTCTCGGTCTGGGGGAGCTGATCCCATGGAGCAGAGGGAGCCTTTTCCTGCAGAGAACCCCTGGCTGTAGCAGTCCCCCTTTGGGGCAGGTCCCCCTTTGGGGCAGGTTTTGGGTAATCTGGGTCATTCTCTGCCACACCTGCAGTGTTTCCCTGCTCTCCCACGGGCAGTGGGGGGATCTGGTGCCGGTGCTGCCCTGGGGCCGTGGGCACCTGCAATCACCTGTTTGTCACCAGGGAGGTGGCACAAAGCCACCGCAGCCGCTGCAGTCGCTGCCTTTATCGGGTGGCAAACGCCCCCTTCGCACCATCTGCATCCTCCTTTCCCCGAGCCCTGAGGTCAAACCCTGTTCTCTCTCTGTAAACATTGGCAGCCCCTGCAGCAGCCTCCCTGAAGGAAAACAACAGAGGGGAGGGCAGTGTGTGCTGGGCACGGCTCCCTGGGCACSCTCCCCTGCGTGGGCAGCTCAGTGTCCAGCGTGGGCCGGGCTCCAGGGACACAGACCACGAGCTTTATCCCAAAAAATGCCTGCTCCTTCACCTGCCTGCATCCCAAAGGACTCTGCAAGCAGGAGCCAGGCTTTGGAGGTGGCTGTGGGTGCCCCTTTAGGCTGAGCTTTCCCCAAGCCAGATGAGCCATCAGCTGTAAGAGCTTTGCCAAGTSCTTTGACATCRGGTRTGATATCAGTGAGTAYRTGTGACATCTTCATGTTAAAATGYCACCAGAAAGTCTTCAGGTTTATTTTGTTTRTTCTATTGTTTGGTGGGTTTTAAAAATCTCAAACTTTAGTGCATTGTACATGAATTTGGTTTGAAATAATTGGTTGTAAAAGGATTGAATGTTCACTTTTTTCCTGGAAGTAGTAAAATGCTTGGCTTATGTCTGTTTTTGGGAGAGCAGGTTAATGGAAGAGGGAGAAACTTTCATTTCCAATCTCACTCCTTGGGAAATGTACATTGGAGAGGTTAAATGTCCCTGTGAAGTGATAAAGTGCTGAGATCTCATGCACAGAAATGAGAATAAARTCTGTGCAGGTTGGCTAAATGCAATTTGGGCTATTCACATCCCCCCTCGGCCTTGCCCACAATATCCAGGACACTCACTGGGGTGGTTGCCTTTCCCTGACCTSTGGAGCAGAGGGAAATCTCCTCTCCAGGCTGTGACATTCCGGGGTGGCCRAGGCCAGGGAGGCTGCAGCAGCTGAGGGGAGCAGGAGGGAGCAGAGGAGCTGAGCTGTGCGCTAAATCCAATCAAAGAGATGGGCTGTAATTGAATCAGYGAGGGGCTGGGGCAGGGCTGGGGCAGCTCTGTGTCTGTCACCAGCCAGAGCACAGAGATGTCCTTGGGWTGCCTTTGAGCCTCACTGTCCCCAGGGGACTCGCAGGAGCTGGAGGTGTGCAGCAATTGCACGCTCCAGGGTGGGCTCCTCCCAGCTGCCCCCGTGGCTTTGGGGCTCTGCTGAGCTCTGCTTCGTTCACTTCTGGCCCCAAATGCAGGGCAGGGAGATGCCAGCCTGGATTTCCATCCCAGCAAATGGGAACTCATTCTCTCCTCCAAAACTGGGAACAGCTGGSTGCCTTCCTAAGGGGTGAGTGGGTGTCCCAGTGGAGCAGCCTGGTTACCTGCTGGTGTGGGACTGGGACAGACTGGGACAACTGGGATGGGACAAAAATCACTGTGACACTCCAGGGATGCTCAGAGCATCACTGCCAGCCAGAATCTGGGGGGCAAGGGGCAGCCTCACCACCTTGTGTCCCTGAATCCCAAACCTCTGACTGTGCTCGGGAAGCCTGGGCAGGAATTTTAAGCCTGTAGGAATATGTGTGGGGATGTCCAGGCTCAAACTCAACCTTTCTCATTCATGGAAGTCTCCTTGGAGGGGCAGAGGACTCAACCAGAGACCYCTTTCCCAGGAGGTGAAGTGGGAACTTGATTTATTTACCACTTGAGGGGATTTTTGGTGAAACGTGCATGGATTCCCATCCAATGCAAACAGTGATTTAAATGGTGTGACTAAAGAGCATTTCCCCTTCTGGCTGTGTTGTGTCTCCGGAGTCACAAAGCTGCAGGTTCTCTCTGACCTTTCTGGGAAAAAACAGCTCTTGGGGACCTGCCCTTCTGGAAGGAAATTCTGGGGGAAAGAAAAGGCCTTTAGTGTAAGGTCTTTTTCCTTTCTTTGCAGTCTGTCCTGAAGTTCTGCTTTTGTTTTTTGGGTTTTTTTTTTTCTCTTCCCATCTGGCCACTTCAGGAGATGATCCAACCTTGGCCATTTCTGGACCCTTTTAAAAGTGAAACGTGCAAAATCCCAGCAGGCAGCAGATGTTACAATGCTTAATTTTTATCATGAGAGATAAGCAGTTGAAAGGCTGAGAGACAGCTGCTGAGAGAACTTGGTCAGAAAGTTCATSAAATGAGTGAGGTAAAGCCCAAAGAAAACCTGTCTGACAAGAACAGGGCTGCACCACAAAGGGGATGTGCAGGGAGAGGAGGTGGGCTCAGCTGGGATGACTTCCCATCATTTATTTTAATTCCTTATTTGCTGCACGTTGCTGTCAGACAGTGTGTGACCAGAGCTGCAGCTTCATTGCCAAATTCATCCTGGTGTTAATTGAGGAGCAGGATGGGGGGAGCTTCATCCCCAAATTCATCCTGGTGTTAAGTGAGGAACAGGATGGGGGGAGCTTCATCCCCAAATTCATCCTAGTGTGTGCAGAGTGAGGAGCTGAATGGGGAGTGAGTCTGCTCTGGGTTTATCCCCAAATTCATCCTGGTGTGTGCAGAGTGAGGAGCTGAATGGGGAGTGATTCTGCTCTGGAGTTTGTCCCCAAATTCATCCTGGTGTTAGGTGAGGGGCAGGATGGGGATGCTGCTCTGGGTTTATCCCCAAATTCATCCTGGTGATGAGGCTGCTCTGGAGCTTCCCTGAGCTCTTCCTCCTGGCCCCACCCAGCCCAAAGGCTCTCGTTCTCCCCAGTTCATGCTCTGGTGCCTCGTTAATGTTTGCATATGGCAAAGAGCAATTTCCACTCTCTAAATGAGTTGAGCAGACACGTTCCCAGTGCAGGGGCTGCCTGGGCTCTGCCCTGCTGCTCGTGGGAGCAAAGCAGCTCCCTGCAGCACGCTCCCTGGCTCTGGAGGGAGCTGATTTCATCTCTGTACCTTGCTGGTGCCCAGGGTGCAGGACAGGGGTGTGAGTTCTCCTGTTGGGCTCCCCCTGCTCCACCGTGCTGCCTGGGGAGCACGGAGTTTGCAAGGCCTGCGACACACGGCTAATGACCTTCTCCTGCCTGTGTTTCCTTTACGTCAGAAGTCGGAGTGCTTATTAAGTTTGGAGGCTTACTCCCAGGAGCAGAAGAAGAGGATCTGCTGGTGTCTGGCTGAGAACATCACCAAGCAGCAACATCCGGCAGCAGCTCCTACCGAGAGCAAGGTAAGAGAGGCGGGCRGGAGCTGGGAATTGCTGCCGGGAGCGTGGCAGGCTCTGCCTGCGCGGGGCTTTGCTGGGCGATGCTGCTGCCGGCGGGGCTGTGCAGGAGCCTTTGTTTGMCAGGTGAGCAGKGAGTTTGTATTCAGGCACCGCCGTRGCTGCAGCTCCCTGCCCTGCCTGGGGAGCAGGGGCTGCGTTCGCATGGCGGGCTGGAGCTGAGACAGGCTGGGCTGATGCTTCCAGCAGCTGCAGCTGGGCTTTGGACAGCCGAGGCTGTGCAGTCCAGTCCTGTGTGCAGTCCTGTGTGCAGTCCTGTGTCCAGCACCGTGTCCAGCCCCGTGTCCAGCCTGCTCCGAGAGCTCGGCTCTGGGCAACGCTGGGAGCACAGGGGGAGGCTCACGCTGTGATTTCTGGTCCTGCTTAAAAGGCCGAGCTTGTGGGAGGAGCTGGGGCAGAGATTTTCCCCTCCTGTGTGCTTGGCTGGGCTCAGGTGTTCGATCCTGACCCCACAGGATCCTCAAAGCACAGAGGTGTCCTTTGGAGGGTGCTGTTTTCACAGCCAGCGAGGCAGCCCCAGCACTTTTCCCACATAGAGGAGCTTCAGCCCGGCCCTGGAGCGCTGTCCCAGCAGCTCTGGCAGAGAAATAAATGTGTGTGTGGAGGGGTTTGGGGCACTGTCCCCCATCCCTGCCCTGCGGGGGTGCAGGGAACACCCTCCTCAGCCTCCTGTGGGGCTCGGCTGCCCAGGGAGCTGTTGGGGACAGTGGCAGTCTCTGCTGGGTCGTGTCGCGTTCCGGGGGTCGGGTTTGGATCGTTGGCGGGTGATGCTGCTCCAGGAGAGGAGAAACCCCCTGTGCTCAGGGTTGGAAGAGCTGTAAGCGCTGCARGTGGGGATTTCGGGGGTAAAACCCCCCTGGTGTGTGGTGGCGGAGCAGCTCCTGCCCCAGGTCGCTGTTGCCGTGCGGGTGCCGGGCCGGGCTGGCCCCAGGGCGGTGACTCGAGTCCCTGGAGCCGCTGCACCGCCAGAGCCGGGCTGGGGACATCGGCCGGGCTGGGGACATGGGCCGGGCTGGGGACATGGGCCGGGCTGGGGACATCGGCTGGGCTGGGGACATGGGCCGGGCTGGGGACATCGGCTGGGCTGGGGACATCGGCCGGGCTGGGGACATCGGCCAGGCTGGGGACATGGGCCGGGCTGGGGACAGGAGATGCGGCTTTGGCTCTGCAGCCTCCCAAACTGGGTCAGCACAAACATCTCCGCAGGAGACACAGCCTCCGGATTCCTTTTCCTGCACGTTTCAGGCGGACTAAAATAGCAACAGCAGCGCACAAAGCCTGAGAACCTGGTTACCAACCAAGGCTCCCGCACCGCCCAGGGCCCCGGGCGGCTGATTCACCGAGCTGACAGCRGCTCCTGCCCTGCTGGCTGGCACAACTCCGTGCCCGGGCATGGGGACCCTGCTGGAATCTGTGGGATGGGGCTGTGCAGGCGGTGCTGTGGCTCTGTGCAATCCCATGAGCTGGGGATGGCCCAGGGTGAAGCTGTGCAGGGACATTTCTGACCCGAGTGTTTCAAACAGCTCCTAAAAAGGGGCRTCTTGGTGGCTGTCCATGGTGACAGATGTCCTGGGCTGTTGGGGTTTTTGGGTGATGGTGTTGTTCACCCTCCCCAGCCCAGCCTTGCTCACAGCAGGGTGTGGGGCCGTGGCTCAGAGCAAAGCCCTGCTYCCCGAGGTGTGGAAGAGCCTGGCCACCAGACAGATGAAAAAGCACTCCAGAAGACATCACGTCTCTTTCAAAGGCTTTTCTGTGCCTGAGAGACCAGGAGGGTGTTCTTTGGGTGCTGTGAGAGCCAGCGTGGGCCCTCCTAAGCTGTGACAAAGGGGATTTGCCTTGGCTTGCCAGAGCTGATGGAAATCCCACTGGTAGGGTGTGGGGCTAGGAGGGAGAAAAGGAGCAGGAGAGCAACCACCAGGCACTTAATTGAGTTTATAGCACTATTCCCCATCCCAGCGAGGTGTAACGTGCCCAGGATGCAATTTTAAAGCAAACCTGTTGTGAAATACAAGAAGGAGCAGCTTGGGAGGGAGCTCCTGAGGGGACAGGTGAGGGTGCTYGGGGCAGGGTGGGCACACGGGGATGGGCAGGAGCCTGAGCTGGGTGAGCTGGGGCTGTGTCCAGGCTGGTTTGTTGGGACAGACCTCTCTGGGGATGCTGGAGCAGTGGGAAGCAGGAGCKGGGAAAATCAGCTGCTTCTTGCTGGGGAGAACTGATCCATTAGCTCTGCTCACAAGTCATTTGATCCTAGGGCTATTTAGGGAAAAAACCCCAGTGCCTGTGCTCTGTGAACAGCCAAATCAAGCTGGAAATATCAGCCTCAACAGGAATCTGATTTGCAAAGCCTTCAAAACTGCTCCAGCCCAGCAAGAGGCAGCTCATTTTGCAGTGTGGCCAAGGGAATGTGGGCTTTGCTGTGGGATGGGAGCAGAGGGCCAGCACAGCCTCGGTGCCAGGCAGGGATGTGCCCTGTGCCAGCAGAGCTGTGCCATGTGCCAGCTGTGTGCTGAACCCAGAGAAGGGGACACTGTCCGAGCAGAGAGCAGCTCGGGAGCCTCCACAGCTGCCAGCAGTGTGTGAGCTTGGAACAGCTCTCCCTTCAGCCTGCTCAGAAATCAGACAGATTYGGGGCTTTGGGATGGTGCCTCTTGTAATCAAGGCCCCCCTCAGCACCAAGGGCAGGGCAGGATGGTCCCTGTGGCTCAGGGACACGGCCCTGCAGAGCTGTCACAGCCTGGGAGGATGGTGGCAGGCCAGAGGGTGATCCCTCAGGACCCCTGTCAGCACTGCTGCTTTCTGAGCAGCTGGTTTGGGAGCAGAGCTGTTGGTTTCTGGGGGACTCGGGCACATGGTGAGTGCAGCATCTGCTTTCTGAGATGTAGGAAGAGCAACCCCAGAGGGATGCAGCTGTGATAGTCCAGCCCTGCTCCCATGGAGGCTGTTCCTGCTGGAGTCAGGGCAGGGGGAGCTCTGGGATAACGGGGCTGTGGTTGTGGTCCAGCYCTCTGTCCCCATGTCCAGGAGATGTGGTGGAAATGGGGTTTTTCTGCTGCCACTGTAAGACTTGGCTGAAGTTCCCTGAGCTGCACACCCACCCTGCCGGCTGCAGCAGCTCCCATGAGTTATTCTGGGGGCATTTTCTCCACCTGTAGAGCTTTCCCCACTCTCACCCCTGTGTCCGGCTCTGCTCCAGGGTGCTGCTCCCTGCCCTGTGCCTGTGCTAAGCCAGTCCCTGTAAAACACACCCCCAGGGTGACCCAGCTGGGCAGCAAACCTTCCCAAGCGGGGCTGTATGGAGCTGGAGGCTGGCTGGGRCTGCCAGGAACCGCAGCCATGGCAATTTGATTATGGAAAAGCAGCTTTTTGCCTTCACTGAGTGAAGGAGGCATCCTCCCCCAGCTGGGTGCTGCCCATCAGTGCCCTCAAACTGCTGCACCAGCTCGGGTTGCTTCAGCCTGACTGGAGGGAGGGCAAACTGCAGGGCAGGGAAGGGCAAGGCACAGGGCAGGAGCTGCTGCAGCTGCTTTGGCTGCCGGGGCAGAGATCCACAGCACAGCCCCTGAGTGTGATGGACCTGCTGCCACCGCCTGATTCTCACTGCTTGTTTCTTTGTGTCTTCCACACTCAGAACGGCTGATTACTCTTCCCTTCTGGCTCCRTGACCTGAGATTACCTCGGAGATGATGGCTGGCTGTATCTGAAAGATGCAGATTATCCTTAAGCTAAATAATTACGGACACTCGGTGGCGTGGACTTTGGGAGTCCAGGACGGGTGCTCCCCTTGTTTCCCGAGGGAGGTGGTGGATGCTCAGCGCTTCCCCGAGCCCGGCTGCCGTCTCTGTGCCATGGCTGCTGTCGGTGTGAGCAGGYGTGGATGCTCCTGGCCCTTCCTGGCAGCGCTGGCTCCGGTGCTGGGAACGAGCGGCCGTGGGTGCGTGGCTGGGGGGAGCTGCCGGCCCCTTCCTGGCCCTGCCTCTGCTCAGGAAGGGCAGGGCTGTTTCTCTCACTTATTTACAACGTGCTTGACAAGTGCGAGTAAATGAGCTGTCGGCAAAAGCAAACGYTGTGTGATGGACGGTGATTGGAACCAGGGCTGGAGGGGCGGGAGGGCTCCCGAGGGCGCAGGGACAGCGCTGCTCCCCGGGCACCTGGGCACGGTTCAGTAGGGTCACCCTGCCCCTGTCCCATCCCTGCCTCCTTTTCCTCGTCCTGAGAACCCCCCACCTGCCCTGCTGTCCCCCCACAGTGCCTGCTCCTCTGCCCCAGCAACTCCCTTCTCACTCCGGGGCATCTCCTGGGATGGTGGCCACGCACACCCCTGAGCTGCCACAGCGAGGGACTGTGACAAGTGCTTGGGGTCAGGGATGTGGACAKCCCCATTCCTGCCTGTCTCTGTCTCTGTGAGCAGGTGCTTCACTCACAGCAGTGTAGTTACAGTGTGATCAGCTCTTTGATGGGGAAGGAGGGGAGGATTTTGTACCTTCTTATCTTGGTTTGGGCCAAAGYCTTTCCATGTTGGGCTGGGAATCTGCTGCCCCATGTGTGCCAGCTCTSCTCCAGGGGATCCTGCTCATCTCCTGGGGCAGGGCACAGCCAAGGGTGCAGGAGATCTTCACCAGAGCCTGCTTTCCTTGCACGATGCCAATGCAAGAGTCTGGGCAGGGCTGGGCATATCACAGCAGCACCTGGAGGGCCAACCTGACCCTGGGCACACTCCCTGAGCACCTTGTGTGTGCTGCCAGGGGGCWTAAACAGGGGAGAAAGCCTTGAGGTGGGTTCTGTCCCAGTGAGGTGGCAGGAYGGGCAGCCAGGTCACGAAAGCAAAGCTCTGTTGGTCACTGTTGCACTGCTCCACTGTCCATGGTTCCACCATTCCACTGTGCCACACCAGGGAGCACAGCCCTGGATGGAGAAAAGTCATTACTGGGGACAGCCAAAGGCTCCATGAATTTATGAGGTTGTGGGACCAGAGATGTTCTTCCTCTCTGAGTCAGGCTCTGGTTCAGCTCTGTCCACCTAAACACCAGGAGGAAGCTCTCTCTCTCTCTCTCCTTGAATACAGTTACAGAATCCCAGAATGGTTTGGGCTGGARGGGACCTTGAAGTTCATCCAGTTCTACCCTCCTGCCATGGGCAGGGACACCTCCACTGTCCCTGGATGCTCCCAGCCCCAATGTCCAGCCTGGCCTTGGGCACTGCCAGGGATCCAGGGGCAGCCACAGCTTCTCTGGGCACCCTGTGCCAGGGCCTGCCCACCCTCCCAGGGAAGGATTTCTTCCTGAATATCTGATCCAACCCTGCCCTCCTCCAGCTTCAGGCCATTCCCTTGTCCAGTCACTCCATGCCCTTACCCAAAGTCCCTCTCCTGGAGCCCCTTTAGRTACTGGAATGCACTCTCAGGTCTCCCCAGAACCTTCTCCAGGCTGAACAGCTGCACATCCCTTGGCTTCCAGCCCAAAGCTCCCTGGGGAGGCTGGGATGGGCCTGGCCACTCCTGTGGGGCTGGGCTGGGGTACTGAGTTATTTATGATCTCCCCTGAGCCCTGGGTCACTGAAGCCTGGCTCCCCTGGGCTCACTGCCCAGCCCTGAGGCTCTTGGTGCTGTTCCTGGTGGCTCTGAGGCTCCAGGGGCTCCCAGCCCAGGAGAGGCACGAGCAGGAGCTSTGGAGAAGATGCTGAGAGCCACAGCTTCCCTGGGTTTGTGCTTTTGCTTAGCTGGGCTCCAAGGCCCTCAGCAGAGCAGACCTCCCCCCTCCCACAAACACCGGCTCCCGTTTCTCTGGGAGATCTCTCCCAGCTGCACCCAGGCTCGGTGCAGGGCTGCTGCAGCAGGAGGGCTCGGGGYTGGAGCCGGGACATGAGCAGCCGCCAACACTTCCATCACGGCCAGAGGCAGAATTAAACCCTGCAACAGGATTCGCTGCTCCTGGCRAATCCCCAGAAGGGCTGGTTAAGAGGGAAAGTGCCGGCAGGAGCGGCGCCGGCAGCCCGGGGGGGTTGAGCAGCGTGAGATCATTTGCACAGGGTGGTCAGAGGCACAGACTGAGTGCTCTGAGCCAGCGCTGCCGTGATTTAATGAAGGGGCTGGAAGTGCTTTGTTGCCGCGCTGCCTGCCAGGCTGGAGCCCTGCTCTCCTGTGCCCAAACAGCTCCTGCCTCGGGGGTCTGCTCCTTCTCTTCCCTCCCAGCATGGGTTGTGAGTGTGTGGCCGGCAGCCTCTCATGTCCAGATCAAGTAACTCATTGCAAAAGTTGCTCAAACCCTGATATCTCGGCAGACTCAAAGGTTCTGTTCAAAATGCTGGGGGCCTTTGGGTGGGGATGCCCAGAGTGGTGTGGGACTGGTAGGCACAGCTTCATCCTGCCCCCCTGGCATCCTCTGGCTCCCGTGAGCCTCCGTGTCCTGCCCTGGAACGAGCACCTTCCCGATGAGCAGCAGGGCCAGGCTGGTCAGCACTGCTGCAGGAGAGCTGTGTGTAGCTTTGGAGCCACCAGGGTTGGTTCTGGTGGCATTTGGGATCCCTCCCTCCYGTGTGTGGCTCTGGCCATGGCCCTGGGGGAGGCACAAGCAGCAGAGCTGCTCTGCCAGCTCCTCTCTCCCAGTTTCCTTCCAGTGATCTCTGCTGGCAGCAGGAACAGCTTCCAGAGCCAGCCTCATGGTCCTGTGAGTGGTGTTGGAGTGAGTCCTTCATGGTGGGTCTGCAGTGGCTGAAGGCGTCACCTCCCTTGTCCTGCTCGTGGGACAATGCCCCTGTCGGTGCTGAGGAGAGATTCCCCCTCTGACAGCACCCAAGGGACAGGGTGCTGAGGGCCGTGGGCTGAATGGCAGTGACAGCATCTGTTCCTTCCTCCCCCTTTCCCACCACTCTGGATTTTTATTGCCAGGGTTATTTATGGCCCAGACATCATCTCACAGCTCCAATCCCACGGCTCTTGCCCTGCGGTGGTGAGGCTGCAGGCAGCAGCTGGAGCCCAGCTCAGGAGCTGTGTCCCTGTCACAGCAGGCACAGAGCAGTGGCTGTGGGCACGTTTGGGTGCTGGCAGTGGCTGTGGGCAGGTTTGGGTGCTGGCAGTGGCTGTGGGCACGTTTGGGTGCTGGCAGTGGCTGTGGGCAGGTTTGTTTGGGTGGTGGCAGTGGGCAGGTTTGGGTGGTGGCAGTGGCTGTGGGCAGGTTTGGGTGGTGGCAGTGGCTGTGGGCAGGTTTGGGTGCTGGCAGTGGGCAGGTTTGGGTGCTGGCAGTGGCTGTGGGCACGTTTGGGTGCTGGCAGTGGCTGTGGGCTGGTTTGGGTGCTGGCAGTGGCTGTGGGCACGTTTGGGTG